CCTCCCTCCCTCCCTCTCTATTTATTTTAATTATATTGCAAGTGAGGTGGTCAGCTTTATTAAATAAAGTAAATCACACATATTATGCATGTATATTCTACGCTACTTTTTGTTTATCTTGAGGTGCTGATCTTACTCGAGTATCGGCGCAACAAGTATTGTACATGGACACTCTTTGTGCTACCTTATTCACTTCGCTTCTATTCTCCGCCCTTAGACTTTGATACTACTTTGTACCCCTAACTTTTTGGACCACTAAAGTTATCTATATTATTCGTGATTTTACGTTGCTTACAAGAGTTCATGGCATTCATTCATTCGTTGGAGAAGTGTATTTGTAAAACACCTAAGTGGCCTAAGCACATAGACATCATTTACTTTCGTCTTTAACTTCCTGCGGTGCTTTTTAAATCACCCATTAATTATATCTAAAACGAGAATATCCCTGCAAATTACATCCAAAACTGCAGACAGAGCCAATATTTTAGTCTCTATATGATTTATCAAAGCTGATAAGTAAACCTCTAAGAATGTTTTCGTACCTTAAACTGACTGATATATACGTTTGAAATCAGTTTATAACCTAGTATGCATCAGGAGTAACCTGGTTATCACTGACTCGCGCGTATTTATAAGCTATCTGCGGGTTTAAGGTGGGCATATCGAATCTCTTGATCCTCAGTAGATGTTTGGTTGGGACTTTTTCTATCTAAACGGGATCGCGTCGTATTTCTTGAGGCAAGAAGCGTGTTTTTCCTCGTCTTTGGTCGACCGATCTTCAATACGCGTTGTAACCCTCTTCTGTAGTTCTCGATAAAGATGAAATACAGACAAGGGTTGAGTGCGCTGTTGGTGTACGTCAGAAACTGGGCCGCGAATAAAAATGTTCTCAACGCTTCAGAGGTACTAATGTTCCAATTTAAAATTAAGGTTGCATAGAAAAGAAACACGTTGAAAGGACCGTAACAAAACGCGAAGCCAACAACGGTCAATACAGCTAGTTTCAAAAGCTTGATGTTGTTAGCTTGCCTGCGACTTCGGGCACCATTGCCATTCTCCCCCTTGATAATAGTGCTTCTTGTGACAATGAGTATGGCTGAATACATGACTGTTAGAAGGACACACGGGACGAGAGTGAAGAGAATACAACTCGCTATAGCTGCTGCACGCTGGATCTCTAAATGGAAAGAAATATCTTCAGACCACTGCAAGAGGCAATGAGTTTCACCATTGATCTTCATCAGCTTGAATCCGTACAAAAAAGGCGCGAAATAGAAGACTGAGAAAGTCCAAGTGAACGCCATGAGTCCAATGCGAACCCTTGATGTGATGAGAGAGAGTTTCATGGGGAATACCACAGCACAGAACCTGTCCATTGAAATACATAGCAAAGACAAGATTGACACTACCATAGTCACGTCTGAGAAAAAGAACATCAGCTTGCACATGATATTACCGGCAGCACCTTCCATCGCTAGCCATGTTTGTCGGCCTGAAGCTTCTTGGACTATGACTCTTGGAAGAATAACAATTGGTACGACGAGATCGGACACCGCCATATTAACAATGAAATAGTTGATTGTCTTCTTCATGTTAGCGTTCTTGTGCACAACGAGGATAAGAAGGATGTTTCCAACGAAGGAAATAACTAGAACTACACTGCAAGCTAAAATCTTTCCCACTCTACTTATAATAGAGCTTGAACTTAAATCATTAGCCAAAGATGCGTTGTTTGGGATTAGGAATTCTCCAGTACTTAAGTTTCTAATTCCTTCCATTTTTGCAGTGTTAGTATAATGTGGGCCTCTTTTACAGCAAATCTGTTGATAGTGTTAGGAAACCTCGTTCTTTTCCGCGTTTCCAAGGTCTTACTTGTCACAAAAATCGTCGAAATTAATTTCAAAAGATTATCAAAAACAATGACAAGTTCCGTGTCCTGGAAAAAAATACCTGTATTCCGGACGCAAATGCAGCTTTGGATACCTGTAACTTCTTAAAAGCATGTTTCATTTCACTCGTAATGAGTTTTTTAATCTATTCAGACCTGTCGAAATGGGCTATGTTTTGCCGGACTCATTTCCAATCAGATGGATCACTAATAACAAAGCCTTAAATCTCCCATTAGTACTTCTGATTAGCAAGTATTTTTCAAAGTTGACCGCGGAGGGGTTATTTCAAAATTTGAACAGGTGATTTAAAAAAAAAAGTCAATTTACTTTCAAAATGCACAAAATTATTCGAGTAATAATTTTTGTTTTCGCGGTTTGAGATAAAGCGATAATGAATCTGAATCGTAAGACTCTATTTTAATGAGTTGCAAAGAAGAATGGGAGGTTCTGAAGGTGGGAAGATCACTTTTGGACCATGAAATTCCTGATTATTTAGTTTTTTGTTTGTTTTTCAGCTATGAGCTACCGTTTCATTAATGAAATCTTAAAGGATCACAGCCATGCATGGCGGGCAGATAACAAACCTTTTAGCTTCGACTATGTTTTTTGTAAAATAAATCAAAAAGCAAATATGAATTTCAAAGTAAACCTCTGAGTAAATGGTCTATGAAGATTCGATCTCACCAAACCATATCATTTACCATATCAGTTATATTCATTTCTGTTTTTTAGTGTGTAAATAGATTGAATTGAATTATYAGTGTAGATTATTATTTTAGGACTAGCTATTCTTAGTCTTTTGTAAAGTGAATCAAAGAGGCTATATCAATCGGCCTATATTATTGTTTTATAACTTTTTAAATTTCAAATTGATCTCGGACAAAGACTACAAATGTTTTCTTACTCAGTTTTGTAGGGAACTTATATAACTAACGTTGTTTTCCTTCCATGTACGATGTCATGACCATTGATAATTAATTCACAACCATAACTGAGAAAACAAAAACAAATTAAATGAACAATACAATCGTAAATGTGAAAATTGGAAAAAGTTAAGTGAATCGAATCGAAGATAAGAATTTCAAACGCTCGTAAAGAAATCTTCGCTCTGCGAGGATGTTGGCTCTGATTGAAAAATATATGAGATTTTAGACTTTGTGGCACTACTGACAGCTGGTATCGTCTCTGCTTCTTTAAAATTTGGAAACGATGTATTAATGTATACACTGAGAAAACTATTCCCATTTAGTAGATGTTTACATAGTCTCGAAATGATTGAAGGAAGATGAGAAAGAAAGGGAAAGAAAAGGAAAGAAAAGAAGAAAGAAAGAAAGAAAGAAAGAAA